ACAACAACTCAAAGGGTATAAAGCCTGTACTAACTTGTGGGACTTCTCTGTAAGCAAATAATACTGCCTGCAGATATATGTCCCAGTCCCGTGGTCTCACCTGGCACATCTTCTTTAGCATACTCTTTAAGACTCCATTGACTCTCTTACAAAGTCCATTTAGAGTTGTTTAGAGTGATAAAGAGTTGCCTAGTTCTGAAGAGTCTGCACACCTCTTGCATCACTTTTGAAGTATACTGGGTCTCCCTGCCACTCAGTACTTCTTTTGGAAAGACTACTCTGCAGAACACTTCCACCAGGGCTTCTTCTATTCTCTCTGTCTCCATCTTTAGCAGTGCTATGGCTTCTGGATAACGTGTCACATAGTTGACTACTGTCAGCATGTAACAATTGCCCTTGTCAGAAACTGGTGCTAGTGGGCCAATCAAGTCCACACCTAGTCTGCCAAATGGCTCTTCTATGAGAGGCATTTCATCCAGTAGTACCTTGGCTACTTTCCCTCAAGGTATTATCCTTTGGTAGATGTTAAGTGACCTGCAGAATCTGGTCATATTTCTGATGACCCACAGCCAATGGAAATTGCTGGTGATTCTCTCTGCCATTTTATTTACTCCTAGGTGTCTTCCTACAATCGACTCATGAGCCAGCTTCATCACTTGAGTTCAGGTATTCTGTTGGTACTATGAACTTTTTAACTTCCCCAGTACAATTACCTTGATAGATCCTCTAAAGCACTCCCTGGTGGTCTCTATTCTGTAAGTCTCTTTCTTCTTTGTTTTGTGCTTGACTTTGTCCTAAAATTTCTGCAGTGAAGGGTCTTTTTTGCTATGCTTCTTTCAGTTTTCATAAACTTACATTCGAGACTTGCGGGGACTTGATGTCTTGTTTGCTTTTCTTTTCTTGAGCTCTAGTGGTAACTGAAGATGTTTCATCAGTCTTTTTTTTTTCTGTCTAGCTCTTCCAAACTTCTACTGCCTGGTATGTTTCCAATCACCATGTCATAGATAGGTGCTTTCATGGCCACAAGGTCTCCCACATAATATGGAGTGTCCACCTTTATTCTTGCTATGAGAACATTTCTCATTGTTCCATCAATCTGTACACACAGATGTACGTTGCACATCATCTGGCCATCAGATACTAGACTGGTTCTCACTACTGCACAACTGCATCCAGTATCTTGTAGGACTTTCACTTTCTTGTCCCAGACATAACCTTCACCTTCTGTGATTTGTTGGCATCTCTCAATGTTTGTCACATACGCCAATCATTATTGGCACTGTTGATCAATTTGCTAACTTGAGCTGACCATCAGTTGTGCACTATTTAATCATAGAGATAGCACTTCCTTCTTGTGTGAATCTGATGTGTTGTTTCTATTCTGTTTCTTCTGGCAGCCGTTTACCACTGTATAATTCTGGCTGTCATTTTTAACATTTTTGTGCTCTTGGTAACATCGTTTCCATCATTCAGTTCTATTGTCTCGATGGCATAGATAGACGTAGATATAGTATTTGACAGTAAGAAAAAAGATGAGAATATATTAAATATATTTCTGTCTGTGAGATAGTTTGGTAATGCAAAGTTCAATCCATTACTTAGTAAAGTTGTACACTTTTTTGATAAATTAATGTCTTCCTTGTTATCAGGCTATTGTTCACTACATTGAACATTGTTTAAATCAATTACAATCATATGTCTAACTTTTTTCTGTACATGACATCCTGGAAAATACCAAACAAGAACTTCTTCAGTTTTCAATTTGATTTTTAACACAAGCAAGTAGTCATACTAATTGTTTAATCTCGGCTTGTATAATGTAAGAAAACAGATTTGCAATGTTGTATGCGTTAGCTTCTGTTGTTATTACCCGCAGTGGCACAGCGGTATGTCTGCGGACTTACAACACTAGAAACCGGGTTTCGATACCCGTGGTGGACAGAGCACAGATAGCCCATTGTGTAGCTTTGTGCTTAATTACAAACAAACAAACTGTTGTTATTACATGTAAATACTTCCTGCAATTAAGAAAAACTGGTCAATAGCAGAAAACTGTTACTTAAATTCAGATATTTAAGTGCACACAAAAGACTAGAAATCATTACTGAAATAAATATAGCTACAAGCTCAAGATATATAAAACTATTAAAATCCTGGTTAATCAGAAACCCACCCAAAATTATAGTTTTTTTCACCGGAAAAAATACAATTTCAAAATCATTTTTATGCAAAAAAAAATCAGCTCTTTCGAAATCAGTTTTACATTTTTGCGCGACGCAAGTATAACCGAAGTTACGAGGAGGCCAGGACCATGTGAAGAACATAAATACAAAAAGAAAGGAAGCTGTGAAATGTGTTTACATTGTGATCTTCCAGCTATATGTACAGCAAAATATTGCCATGTTATCCCCCAAAGTACACGTAGTGTAGTGCAAAAGGTCCAAAAGCCAGTAAAAAAAAAGAGAGAGGGGGAAGAGGCAGAACAAGACGTTTTTATGGAAATTTCTGCTAAAGTGTTTCGTTACAAGATTTGGACATTGAGATTGAAGACGTACTACAAGAAAACTAGAAACATGTTTATTCTCACTAATTATGTATTGGAATTTATTAATAATATCATTGGAACTAAAATAACTATCAAAGCATTCCGAATCTTTCCTTTTGTTTTCTGGGAAGTTGGCGGTAGCCAATCGTTTTCGTCCATTTCTCCGCAACCAGAAAGGATTTTTAAATTCTAAAAGTTATTCTCGCCTTTTTAGACCATTAAGCACCTATTGCGCGCTTTCCCTGTTTATTTATTTTTTTTTAAGTGCGCACGGCAACCCCAAGGGTAGGTTTCTCACTGACCGGGATCTTAATGTACCCGGCATTTGAGACCAACACTATGCTATCGCTTCTTTGATATCTTTGTAATTTGTAATTATAACTAACAATCACCTTTATACTTTGTGTGTTTCCTTGTAAATTTGTTATCAATTTATATAACAAAACCTTATATTACATGAATAGTACCAGTTAGTATGTTTAATAATATACCTTTTATAATGCTTTTAATATAGAGATTGTTTTGCATTGTTAGCTTAATGAATAGATTTAGTGCGAGGATATCCAACCGATGAAACAAAGCAGTATAACCTTTATAATTAAGAACGTAGGAAAAGTATATTTAATTAGCTACATTCATTATCAGGTTAATTTTTAGTTTCACTCCATATAGGCGAGTTGTTCTGATTAGAAGTTGCCTCCCAGTGGCACAGTGGTATGTCTGCGGACTTACAACGCTAGAAACCGGGTTTCGATACCCGTGTTGGGCAGAGCACAGATAGCCCATTGTGTAGCTTTGTGCTTAACTACAAATAAACAAACGTGATTGGAAGTTAATATTAATTAATGTAAATATTAAAAGCCCAAGTACTGACCTCTGAATCACTTCATTAATAACAAGGGTCCAATTTGACTGGACTCCGTTAATAACGTGTAAACTTCAATAAGATCAATTCTTATCATTCTTTTATCAAGAGAAAATAAGAGATCTTAGCCTATACCTCTAAGATAACCCTTTTATCCCCAGAATCATCCTATTAGCTCTACTCTGAGCTCTTTTCAATAATTCAATATCCTTTCTCAGATAAGAATGAAATTATAGTGACTTTGCTCTAGCATTAGCGGTGTTCTATTCACCAATATCCCCGCTGTATTACTACTTGGTATTAATAATATTGTTCACAGACTGAGCAGGAGATCCGTGCTTATGGTAGATTATTAGTTATAATCAAATTATAATTATAAATAACACACATTAACAAGTCAATGGACATCTCGTAAATTAGAATTTAAACAGTATTTGTTAATGTAGGATACTGTGGAAACCAACGATATCAAATAAGATATGCATCTCGTTTAATTTCTTTTTAACTAAGGTTTTAGCTTACGGGAAACAACTTTATTCAAGTAAATTTTAAAATATCAAATATTCGAAATATAATATCTCATAGAGACTTACTGCATTGTTTGCAGTGTTATTAAAGACAGGACTTACAACAATTAAGATAATAAAAATATCATAACTAAAACTCTAAGCATACAATATCATCCATATACCTAACTAGTATTGGTTAAATATTGTTACG